CGCGTTTGGCCGAGTGGGGGAGAAAAATCTGGCCAGAGCGTCGAGTTATTATTGGCCAGTGTGACAGTTAGGCTTAACGATTTCATCTTGTTCGGCGTGGTAGAGGGAAAATGTGGGAAAAAGGAGAAAAGGGAGAAAAGCATTGGGGGGAAATATTTTCCCGTTTAAAAATGTTCCGTTATCATAGTAGATGATGAGAGATTATTGATAATTAGTGACCAAATCCAAAATGTTACAAATATATTTTCATCTAAAGATATAATATTAGGATAGATTTTTTAAAATTTTCTCGAAATTGTTGATAACGAATGGGTTTATTGTTGGGCAGCTTACAAGTAAAAAAAACGAAGCTGAAAATTGTTATCTATCATAAAAATATAAGCGGGCTGTATTTTATTTATTGCGTTCGTTTAGAATACGAGCATGAATTAAAATAATTGAAATACGCACAAACTTTGTACTTGAATGGTTTATCTCCTTAAAAGAAAAGATGCTGCTACAGAACATGGTTCTAAAGGTCAAACGTAGAATAACATTTATTTATGTGTTCGTGTCTGTCCGACCAGGACTCGAACCCAAGACCTCGACCCAAGGCTGCCCCTGCAACTACAGGTGACGGATTTTTGTCGAATTCCGTTCAAGATTAGTTTTTCCCCACCCATCAATTTTTCATCATACCCCGGGACAAACTTTTTCATTTTCCGGCAGCGGTGAGTTTTTCTTCATACCCCGGGTCAGTTTTTCGTCCTACCCCGGGTCAGTTTTTCGTCCTACCCCGGGTTAGTTTTTTGTCATACCCTTTAGTCAGTTTTACGCCTACTGGTCAAATTTTCGTTAAATTCCGACCGAAATCAGGTTTTAAGTACACCCCCCCCCCAAGTCTCCATTAAACATTTAAAAACCAAACAACTCTGACGTCGTATTGTGTTCTAATACTTAAATAAAAACACACCGTTCACAGGTGTGTGATTTGCTTGTAACACCTTGAAATACAGGCACCCGAGTGTGTGAAAGCTAAACACATTTCAGTTTTCACGCTGAATAATGTAAATATTCGCTTAAAATCCTGGCTACAATAATTCTGCTCGGGTTAAAAATAGAGGGAAAAGGGGAAAGAACTCTAAAAATGTGTAATTACTTCCTGTAGATTTTTGTTTCGCAAAGAAAAAATATTTTACCTCAGAAAAATGTATTAAAAAGAAAAACAAATTAAAATGATATTACAATAAACAAAACTACACCAGTGATCAGATTATACATACGTTAATTTCAAAGTTTATATTTGTATAAATATATTCAAACTCGATTAAAGCTCGCGGGAGAATATTAACGTGTGCGCGAGAAAAGAGCAGGTTTACAGTACAGGGCTAATGTGTGAGCGCTAAATGGCACGAGGGGGGGGGGGGGAGACACAAACCTGGCTGCTAGCAGACGATCGTCCGACTGAGTGTCCCTGGCTGAGTTATTGGCCGGAGTTTAGTAACCCTTGATGCCGGCTCCTTTTTCTGGAAACATCTCCACCCCCCCCCCCCCCCCCCCCCCCCTCCCCTCGGACCACTCTACATTTTTACTTTTTTAAATTTAGTTTTACTCTTTAAAAGATTTGTTTTTATGTAAGAAATAAAGAATAATAATAACATAAAGAGGTAAATTAAAATTATTTTTAAGAAACTTTGACAGTGTTGATGTGAGAGTTGATGTCTGTAGTGTTTCTTCCCCACTTGAAATTTTGGGAAAGGAATGGGGGGGGGGGATAAATTTCAAGGGGGTGGGGGGCACTGGTAAAAGTATATTTTCATATTTTCAATATAAATTATATTTCATTCGATAAGGAGGGGTGGGGCGTAGGACGTTCTTGGATGAGGGGCTGAGGGGGGAGGGGGGCTCAGTCCATAAACTAAGATGCCTGAAAGAACGTCAGCACCAACAAGCAAGCGGAGAGTCAGAGTTTCACCAGAGTTACCGCCGCAGCAAAGTGCGGTATGGAAACGGCATTTGTCAGAAGTCACGTGACGTAGGTTGTCTGCCTGATGAGCCGGTGTAGACCGTCGTGTACTATTTCCTTGATGACGTTTTGATCACGTGGGTACGAGGGGGGGGGTCTTAATGGGGGTGTTAGTCGGGGAGGTTTAGTTAACCTGAAAATTGACCTAGAATGGTTTCAGTTGCGGTATCGTTAGCAGACGAGAAATGGGGTGGGGGGTGGGGGGGTGGGGGGGGGGGGTGGCATCAATCTACACAGATTTGTGGGGGGGGGGCAATAATCTGCAGAGATTTGTTAAGTTTCTACAGTTTTGATTTTTTGATATGTTTGATATGAGTACATACATCTGTCTTAAAAATGTAAGTGTTGAAGGTTTTAACAGTAGTGACAGATTGGTGGTATACTTGTAGTATACTTATGGTATACGAGTGGTATATTGGTTATAGTGTTGTAAATGAATTCCCCACACGGGCTACGCGTGCTGACCGTTTGAATGGTGATAAACTGGTGGCATATTGGTGGTATATTTGTGGGATACTTGTGGTATATTAGAGGTATATTGGTGTTCGAGTTGTGAGTGAATTCCACACGGAGTATTAGCAAGGGACAGCACGAAATATTAAAATACAAGTGTTTGATGGTGTTCCCTTTATGTATACCACAAAAAAAAACTATTTTATTTGTATTTTTTATTAATGTACATTTTGCAAAGTGACAGTGGGTAACGGAGTATGGGAATGGGGGTTGTGAAAGTTAAGTTAACTTTTTAAAGCTGACGCTCGATGGGACAAATGAAGTAGAGTTCACCTGTCTCTGTGACTTCGGCATAGAAGGAATACTTTGGTCAACACTATGCCCAGATGTCTTTACTTTACCTAACGTGAGTTAGGTACCGATCAGAGCTGGGTGGACTCCGATGGACGTTTTGCTGACTTAAACCCGGATTCGAACACGAGACAAACGCTCTGCCGCCAGGCCATACCGTCCCATGTGGGTAATTAACAAGGCGCTAATCATCGAAAGAACAGCCGGATATAATGACATTCTCCAAACAGGAAATCGATTGGTCACTTATAAGGAAAAATAAAATGTAACACAAACGTAACAAAACTTTAGCCTAGTATCCAGCTAAATGGAGAAAGCCTCATAGGTTAACTTGAAGAAATTATTTTTTAAAAATTAAATGAATTACTTTAAAAACGATATCTCGATGATTTATAAACTGAGTGGTTGTAAGGAAATGTCATACTTTTTGTGTGAATGTCAGGAATAATGACCCATACAGTAAGAAAAACATTCAGAGGTTTGAGGAAATAAAGGGGGGGGGGGGGGTTAAAAAATTTAAATCGATTGTCATTCATAATGGAAACGTGCGTTTTTAATGTATCATTTTTGTTGTTGAAATCTTTAAAACTTTATTCCGTTGGGATTTGTGTGGGGTTTGTTTTTTTTAAAGTTTGAAAGATGAATAAGGATGAGACTTTACTTTTTTTAAAATAAAGTTTTTCTGTGGGAGGGGGGTGGGGGGGGGGGGTCTTGAAGGCTAGAGAGAAAAGCCGTGTAGAGGGTGTGGAAAGGGGTGGGGGGTGGGGGGGAATACAGCAAGTGACACTGAGGATGAGTCATGCACGGCCGTTTCACGCGCGTGGGTCGGCAACTTGCGTGGACATGGCACGACGCGCTTAACTAATTATTCATTAGTGGCTTGACAGCTATGTAAGAACGTGTCAATAATAGATTGGAGAAACCTACGCAGTGTTCATTGTGTGAGGGTGGTTGGGTATGTGTGTGAGTGGGGAAGGGGGGAGAGAGTAGATGGGTAGAAACCTACGCAGTGGCCATTGTGTGAGGGTGGTTGGGTATGTGTGTGTGAGTGGGGGGGGGGTAGATGGCTAGAAACCTGGGCAACCTGACCAGGAGATCGCTCACCAGTTATTTACTATGCGAGGGTTGTTCTTTAAGCAGGAAGAGCGTTAAATAGGCGCAGTACATGCTAATGGTGAGTACCCACAAAGTACATGATAATGGTGAGTACCAACACAGTACATGATAATGGTGAGTACCCACAAAGTATATGCTAATGGTGAGTACCCACAAAGTACATGATAATGGTGAGTACCAACACAGTACATGATAATGGTGAGTACCAACACAGTACATGATAATGGTGAGTACCAACACAGTACATGATAATGGTGAGTACCAGCACAGTACATGATAATGGTGAGTACCAACACAGTACATGATAATGGTGAGTACCAGCACAGTACATGATAATGGTGAGTACCAGCACAGTACATGATAATGGTGAGTACCAGCACAGTACATGATAATGGTGAGTACCAACACAGTACATGATAATGGTGAGTACCAGCACAGTACATGATAATGGTGAGTACCAGCACAGTACATGATAATGGTGAGTACCAGCACAGTACATGATAATGGTGAGTACCAACACAGTACATGCTAATGGTGAGCAGGCAAAGCAGGCAAAGCTGGCGCAAAAGTTGACGATGTGTGGCTCATGAACGGTGGTAAACTTGCTGATAGTAGGGTGTGATCTAAACCACAAGTCAGTCAAACTCCACCACCAACTGGCCCATGACTGTGACTCCGCTACAAGTGGGTGCATGAGTGGAACATAAAACTTGCACCATTCACACCAGAATTCTCTTGGTTTCACTAACTCAGTTTTCTGTTTCAATCCTCTAACTGTATTGCCCAACACACAGACGCAGCCAACATAAAGTAGGTCCAACAAAAGCTGGGAAACAAAGTAGGGCCAACATGACGCAGGGCCAACATGACACAGGGACAGCAAAGTAGGGCCAACATAAGGTAGGGCCAACATAAAGTAGGGCCAACATAAGGTAGGGCCAACATAAAGTAGGGTCAACATAAAGTAGGGTCAATACAAAGTAGGGCCAACAGAAAGTAGGGTCAATACAAAGTAGGGCCAACAGAAAGTAGGGGCAACAGAAAGTGGGGCCAATATAAGTTAGGGCCAACTCACCTCATAAACCATCTCGTACTGTCGGTCATCAAAATACGGGTCGTCTATATCAAAGTTGTGAGCCATCTCTATATCCGTCAGGCCCATTTCTGCACTGGGTGAAAAGGCCACAGGTCTCCGTGATGAGGGCTGGTATAATCTATGGAAGGATAAAGATAATTAATTAGTCGTTATAGTAATTATATAATATATATATATATATATATATATATATATATATATATATATATATATATATATATATATATGTATATAGATGTGTGTATATGTATGTATATGAGTGTGTCCTTATGTATCTTTGTATATACACAGTGGCATAAGACATAAATTTAAAATGGAATTCTCCAAGCCGACTAGTTCCCACCTTGATGACGTATGACGTACAGGTAACAAAGGGATGGGTAATGTAAAAGCCAGGTGTGACCGTGTCACGCTGACCTACTTAATTCGTTAACAATTTTCCAGCAAATTGTATTTCTTGTTCCAAACTTGAATAACACACAACATTCCCAGTGTTGAGGGGGAAAAAATACAACATTCCCAGGGTAAAGATACGAACGAGAGACTAAATTTAGAAAACTCCACTAAGAATTCGGTGGGGAAAGAATTTTTTTTTTTTAAGAACGTTAAGATTCTGCTGTGTAATTACCACTTGCCAAAAACCAAAGGAAAGTTTAGTTAAGTAACACAGTTTATTCTGGTACTGTGGCTTTGCTTAGGAAACTGGTATGCATTTATAATAAAAGCAGTTGTCGATAAGAGAACTGTTTTCGATAATAAAAGGATCTATTGTCAATATTAAAAGAACTGTTGTCGATAATTAGAAAACAAAAATACGCATCACGGTTAAGGACATCAAAGTATAGAAAAAGAAACGGTCTCATAATCAATGTATGAATGGTGGCTGTCTTTTATTCTAGATATACAAAAAACGAATACTCCCTTTTTAAACATTCTATTAAGATAAATTGAATATATCAAGTGGCATCAAGTCCAGGAATGCTTCTTTTGTTTTCAATTTCCCCCCTGCACATCTCAAACAGAATAAGAACAATGCATACTATGCAATACTCTTTTTATAAAGAAAAACTCTATATATCTATATTTATCCTGGCAACCCGTCGAGACTGTCAACCGTGGGGTGGTTGTCACATGACAACCCATCCATAATTATCTCAACGGTGTCAAAAATTTGTTTTCAGCCAATAACTGACGCTTTCAACCTACACGATCGACAGTGAGACAGTGAAACTTTATACTTATAAGAGTTGATCGAAAGTGAGACTGGTACTATACCAACAAGATCGAAAGTGAGACAGGCACTATACCTACAAGATCGAAAGTGACAACTGGCACTATACCTACAAGATCGTAAGTGACAACTGGCACTATACCTACAAGATCGAAAGTGAGACAGGCACTATACCTACAAGATCGAAAGTGACAACTGGCACTATACCTACAAGATCGAAAGTGACAACTGGCACTATACCTACAAGATCGAAAGTGACAACTGGCACTATACCTACAAGATCGAAAGTGACAACTGGCACTATACCTACAAGATCGAAAGTGACAACTGGCACTATACCTACAAGATCGAAAGTGACAACTGGCACTATACCTACAAGATCGAAAGTGACAACTGGCACTATACCTACAAGATCGAAAGTGACAACTGGCACTATACCTACAAGATCGAAAGTGACAACTGGCACTATACCTACAAGATAGAAAGTGAGACAATCTGTACGTTTACAGCCGCAACAATTGCTCGACTTGATCTCAACTAGTCTTACTTCAGAGAGAAGTCGAGTTCTATTTATCGTGCAGCAATCTATATAAGCTACAATAGTTGCTTGATGAATCTATGGTGATGTTGTACAAGAGATTTTATATTTGCAATTATTATAGGTGGGGTCTGGTGAAGGGGTGGAGGGGTCGGAGAGTGGGGGGGGGGGGGGTTGGGGGTCGGGGGGATGTTGGGGGGGGGCGTCGGGGGCATTAACAAAGCCCACGATAGGTGATAGATCTTCAGTACCACGGATGGGGTGGGGGGGGGGTCTCGAGATGGGGTCTGGGTGGGGCCGGGGGGGGGGGGTCTGTTACTGGTACAAACAAAGCCCGGGCCTGATGATAGATCTTTAGTACCACTGGTGGGGTGGGGGTCTCGAGATGGGGTCTGGGTGGGGCCGGGGGGGGGGGGGGGGGTCTGTTACTGGTACAAACAAAGCCCGGGCCTGATGATAGATCTCTAGCAGCACCCCGGGTGTACGTCCCGCTCACGTGACACAACACATCGCACGCGCGGCTGTGGCGCCAAAGACCCGTGCTGATATTAGCCGGGTCCGGTTACCCGGGCTTTGTCAAAACTTCTCCGGTCCCGCCCGATCATGTTCGGGTCTTGAAACGCAAAAAACGCGAAAGGAAATAACGCGAACCTTTCAGCAATGCGTATCACGGAACATGGTATTTGAAAAGGGAGAAAAAATGGAATTGTTTTTTTTATAATGAAATAGGATTATGTTTTTTTTTTCAAGAGTATTTGATATAGAAAATGAAACTTTAGCTGAAACTTTATCGAATTTTTTTTTCTAGACAAATATACATTTCGGAAGTGGAAGCTGGATAAATTTGAAGCGTCGAATAATGATTAGTCGGTTGATCAATTCTCGTATAGGGGGTTGTTACGAGGGGATGAAGAAGCGGAACAACAACATCAACAACAACAACAACCACAGCAACAACAAAAACAACTACAACAGCAACAACAACTAAAACAACTATAGCAAATAACTGATGCAAGACGTAGACATCTACGCGTCATGTCAACTAATTTTTTGTTTTAACCCGCTCAGCCTCACCGGTAAAACGCGCCGTGTTTTCGTATCGAACTCTCTGGTCAGTCTATGTCACGTGGTTAGATCACCGGAAGCAGACGCCCAACAGCAGACGATCAATGGACGAAAAACACGTAACCAATCACTTAACCTACACCCTAACCTTGGGACGACAGAACATGCGTTTTGTAACCCCCAATACCACCAAAACATCCCCCCAACTCCTGTAACATAAAAAATATCTGCAGTGATTACGTAATGTACAACAAGGGGGGGGGGAGAAAAAGGAGTCACCAGGATCAAACACGCCCAAAAAAAAATATTTCGTCCCAACTCCTACACTTTTAGCCATTATCTAAATGAAAATCTGGCAACAAAAAAATCAAAAACCCCACCCGGCTTATTTACCGTCGCCATTGTTTCGTTAATTCTCCCGCCCGTTTTATTTTTTTAAACCAGTCACGCCAATAGACCCCCCCCCTCCCCCCAAGATGCAAGCCACGATAACGTTTGAATTTTATTTTAATGGCGCGATCTAATTAAAGTTGATCCTTTCTTCTGACGGCGTGGGACTAGCCTCTCGGAGATGGCGGCGGGTCTTGTACACGCTTGTGATCTCAACTCCTCGACTTAGATTTTTTAAAACTTTACAGATTTTATTCACATTTTTGTTGGGGGTCTAAAAACTGTCGAACATTTTTGATATAATAAAATACCGGAACAAAGGAAGATTTTAGAGAAACGCATGATTGAGCAGAAATAGGCGCTCAGCTGAGGTTGTATAGGTTTAGATAGGTTTAGATAGGTTTAGATAGGTTTAGATAGGTTTAGATAGGTTTAGTAGGTTTAGATACTAGGTTTTTTTTCTTCTTCGTTCCCCGAAATCGCCCCACTCAGCTTCAAACATCCAATCCATCCAATTTAATCTTAGTCCGATTCGACTTTGACCAATATCAACTTTATCACATTATCGAATATCGACTATATGTAATATCGATAAAATTCAGAATTTCGAATGACTTAAACTAAAGCTAATGACCGTAATCAGTATTAGTTGAAATGACCTAATTAAATCCCTATAAACGCCTG